CCTACATGAGAGGAGTGGGAGGGTCGTGAGGGTGTTTTTTTACTATAAGCCTCTCATTCTCCCCTACATGAGAGGAGTGGGAGGGTCGTGAGGGTGTTTTTTTACTATAAGCCTCTCATTCTCCCCTACATGAGAGGAGTGGGAGGGTCGTGAGGGTGTTTTTTTACTATAAGCCTCTCATTCTCCCCTACATGAGAGGAGTGGGAGGGTCGTGAGGGTGTTTTTTTACTATAAGCCTCTCATTCTCCCCTACATGACAGGAGTGGTAGGGTCGTGAGGGTGTTTTTTTAATATAAGCCTCTCATTCTCCCCTACATGAGAGGAGTGGGAGGGCCGTGAGGGTGTTTTTTTACTATAAGCCTCTCATTCTCCCCTACATGACAGGAGTGGTAGGGTCGTGAGGGGGTTTTTTTAATATAAGCCTCTCATTCTCCCCTACATGAGAGGAGTGGGAGGGGCGTGAGGGTGTTATTTTACTATAAGCCTCTCATTCTCCCCTACATGAGAGGAGTTGGAGGGTTGTGAGGGTGTTTTTTACTATAAGCTTTTCTTTCTCCCCTACATGAGAGGAGTTGGAGGGTCGTGAGGGTGTTTTTACTATATGCCTCTCATTCTCCCCTACATGAGAGGAGTTGGTGGGTTGTGAGGGTGTTTTTACTATAAGCCTCTCTTTCTCCCCTACATGAGAGGAGTTGGAGGGTCGGGAGGGGGTTTTTTTACTATAAGCCTCTCATTCTCCCCTACATGAGAGGAGTTGGAGGGTCGTGAGGGTGTTTTTTACTATATGCCTCTCATTCTCCACTACAAATTGTCGCCTCTAAAGCTCCCCTTACTACAAAGCACGTTTATTTCCTGCATACCAATAATTAAGTTATCTTCTTATGCGTATCTCATTCCACGATAGTGATACCATTTCTGTGTCTTTGTATCCAAACTTACGTCTCTTTCTAGCTCTATTCTATATATAACATAATGAACTCCCTCCCCCACTCAACTTGTCTATATTATTTAAACCGCTAGACCCGGGCCTCCAAACAGATACACATTCCTTCCTTGGTTTAACTCTCTTCTGGGCCCTGTTACATCACAGGTAGAATGTTTAACTGCTACCTGTCCGCCATGGTTTACCCCGTTACTGCGGTCCTACGATTGGCGATAATTCCCGGCTAATTTGTTTGCACGCGCTCCAGTTTCCGCGGGACCATCCATCAGTCCCTGTCTGTTGGAACTCCCGACTCTCGTTTTACAGAAATGTACCTATCAAACGGTGTCAATTAACTCTGGACATGCGCGTGCGCGCGTGAAAACCCCGGTGATAACGATTGTGACGTCTGCTTCATCAATCAAACGTTTGGTTGGTCATTAATTATCCGCATCTTGCAGACGTTTGAGGGGTCGCGTGCCCCATCTCAGTGTTGGTAAGGTATTAAAACGTGGAGTCTCGTTACCAACAGAAGAGAGGCATTCTCTGTACAGAAAAAAACCCGCCTCGTTAGTTCTTACATATAAAATAACGATCATAGCCTGCACGTGACCTTCCATCTTTAAGCTTAACGAACCGCTCGTAACATAATCTGTCCTTGTGTCCGTATAAAGTATGTACAACTTTGAGTATTTGTCCTAGCGTCCTGATCTGCTTGACGTAAAACGAATTTTGTTAACCGTTTGACGTGAAACAACGTATCTGGAATATCAAGGTTCAACTACGATGACCGAATCATAGTAAAGTCTTTAAAAAGGGTAGTTGTTTTCCTTTCTAAGCGTATGATAATCACAAAACCGCTTCACCCGCTGTTAGTATAATGCGGGTGGAGTAGCGTGCTTGGTGCCTTCGGCATGGGAGCGCTCTAGAGTCGGCATCAGATCCAGAGGAAGCAAATACGAATTTAACCCACGTTGTTCACCAACATACCGCCTCAATCACACATTCTTACAAATACACGGTCTTCGTCGTGGAAAGGACACGTAACCCAATGAAACCGAACCAAAACCAAACAGTTCAACAAAAACATACCTTTTATTGATTTTGCATTTATAAAACATGTTACATGTATGTCGGATTGTATGTATCACTCCTGTTCACTAGGATGGTAGCGCGCAGTTAATATTCCGTGTAAACTAAAAGTATGTGATTTTTAATATGAAATATCCTCGTCACGTACACTGTACATGTTGTTTCCAATATTTTTAAAAAAATGAGAATATGAAAATAACTTTGATAAAAGGTATAAACAATAGTTCATGTCTGTAAGTTACCTTTGGTGTTGATCCTTAATAACGTGTAAAGTGTAATTAACGTATACTGTCTTAAATCTCCTCACATCGGAGTGTGGAATAACGACCTCCGAGACTTCAATCAGACAACGTGAACTACGAGAGTAAGGCGGGACCACGTTCGTCAGACACGTGCGGCCATTCCTGTTTGGTATTTTAAGATTAATAAGTATATACCAATCGAGTTATAAGGGAGTGCGGAAGTGGCAAGACTCTACAGAGTTTCAACATACAGGTTTCCTATTGATGATAGGGCGGAAGTCAGATAAAATATCCCTCCCATTCATTTGACCTATCCTCTTGACCAGACCGTCAGACACCGAATCTTACAGACTACGTGAAGATCTCGGTTACAATAACTATACATAAATACCTGTGTGTTGTTCCGAGATTTACTGCAGACGAGTATAATGGGCAAAACATTTAATATTTCTGGGGTTAAACTACTGAAATATCAGTTTTCCAACACATCCTAGTCAATTATAAATCTATTTCTTATGAGTTGCGTTTTGGATAAGGTGTAATTCTGAACACACGAGGGAGAATAACTCTCCAAAAAAAAATACCCGGTAACACAAATCTCAAACCAGGAACTACCATCATGCATAATATCGAAAGAATTTAGCGACCACTGTTAAAATAATCCTTATTTAACATAGCATAGGGCTTTCACAGCCTTTCATGGGGGAGTTATGTCGTCTTCCGATGTACCTTGATGAGGGTTTACTTCCCTGGGTAAGTACAATGACTACAGGGGCCATACGTGTTCCTGACAGAGTAACGTTCCTGACAGAATAACGTTCCTGACAGAGTAACGTTCCTGACAGAATAACGTTCCTGATAGAATAACGTTCCTGACAGAGGAATAACGTTCCTGACAGAGTAACGTTCCTGACAGAGTAACGTTCCTGACAGAATAACACAACTGGTAAACAATATAATAATAACATAGAAGATTCATAGTGCATGTGTTCGTCTTGCGTAAAGACAGAGTCTTTAAAAATAGAAAAATGTACAAATGAAGATATTTAAAAACCGATGTAACTGACCTATAAGCAAACAAATTATATTTTCTGCTGTTGCTATGGACACGAATACAATGGCGTCATATTCTACGCTCAAAACGGTTAGAGAAAATCAGACACTGGCGACTAGATCGATAGGGCTCGAGCAGGACTTCTTTACCGCCTCGGAGACAGCAACTAGTGCAGACGAGGACGTCTTCTACTGTAAACAACCATCTATGGAGACGTGGCAGGGACAACAGACGACTGACCAGAAACGCCTTCTACTACAAACAACAATAAATGGAGACGTGGCAGGGACAAAAGACGACTGACCAGAAACGCCTTCTACTACAAACAACAATAAATGGAGACGTGGCAGGGACAAAAGACGACTGACCAGAAACGCCTTCTACTACAAACAACAATAAATGGAGACGTGGCAGGGACAAAAGACGACTGACCAGAAACGCCTTCTACTACAAACAACAATAAATGGAGACGTGGCAGGGACAAAAGACGACTGACCAGAAACGCCTTCTACTACAAACAACAATAAATGGAGACGTGGCAGGGACAAAAGACGACTGACCAGAAACGCCTTCTACTACAAACAACAATAAATGGAGACGTGGCAGGGACAAAAGACGACTGACCAGAAACGCCTTCTACTACAAACAACAATAAATGGAGACGTGGCAGGGACAAAAGACGACTGATCAGAAACGCCTTCTACTACAAACAACAATCTATGGAGACGTGGCAGGGACAACATACGACGGACCAGAAACTCCTTCTACTGCAAACCATAATATTTGGAGACGTTGCAGGGACAAAAGACGACGGACCAGAAACGCCTTCTACTGCAAACCATAATCTTTGGAGACGTTGCAGGGACAAAAGACGACGGACCAGCAACGCCTTCTACTGCAAACCATAATCTTTGGAGACGTTGCAGGGACAAAAGACGACGGACCAGCAACGCCTTCTACTGCAAACCATAATCTTTGGAGACGTGGAAGGGACACGAGGCTACAGACCAGAAACGACCCATCCTGTAAACCACAATCTATGGAGACGTGGCAGGGACACGAGGCTACAGACCAGAAACGCTTCATCCTGTAAACCACAATCTATGGAGATGTGGCAGGGACACGAGGATACAGACCAGAAATGCCTCATCCTGTAAACCACAATCTATGGAGACGTGGCAGGGACACGAGGCTACAGACCAGAAAGGCCTCATCCTGTAAACCACAATCTATGGAGACCTGTCGGGTACAGGATATTACAAACCTAAAAAATCTCCTCTTGTATATCACAATCTATGGAGACCTTGCAGGGACACGCTAATACAAACCAGAAATGCCTTTTCATTTGAACAACACACTACGGCATTATGACTGGGACATAGTACTCGGACGAACACATCTTTTCTTCAAAACAAGAGACTATTGAGACATCACGTGGATATAGTACTGTGGACGAGAATATTACAGATGAGAATATCTTCTCTTGAAAACTACAGATAATTGATATCTGTCGGGGAAATGCAACCTCAAATGGTCATGTCTGTTAAAATATTAAAAGAACACTGTAAATATATTGGCGATCATCTCAAAACAATTTCACTTTACTGTTTTCACTTGTCGTAACGGACGGGGATATCAGCGTTATTAAGGATGCTAGTAGANTTACTTATATTTAAATGTGAAAACTTACCGAAATTTGTGAATGGTAGCGAAGTGTAAGGCTTGTTTCAGAGTCATTCTCAGCTAGGGTGTTAAGGTGGTGACGTCATAGTGGCACAATTGGCCCACAAACGTATGGAAACCTGAAAGAGACAAAAGCAATGCTTAGAAAAATGACTTTTGAAAAGAAAATACAATCAAATACCTCGCTAATCCGCCACAGAAATGAGAGAAACCAATCAGTTGTAACACATATTTGTTATCGAGTTTAATATTTAGGACACCATTCCTTGTTGGGGAATGACATATTGTTCATTAGGATCACAAGTTCCCAATACTAGTGCGCATGCTCGTACAGCTCGTACATATGTACCGACTGTTATACGATATATATAAGGTAATACATAAGTAAACACTTTATTTTGTCATTTGGTGTAAGTGATAACATGGCGTTATGTGTAAATATAACGTCATCGTTCTTCTAAATGTCATCCATGCAAAAGTTCATTTTTCGATAACGAGGTTCCATTTCTAAAACAAAATTTTCAAAATGATATGACGTCATGGCACTTCTCAAGGTCGACGATCTTGGCATATACTTTTACATTCGAGCTTCAAGTCCCCATAATCATAAACACTACCAGCAGATATGGCGTTCATATGATTATGAACGCAAAAGGATCAGTCATTTTGAAGCTTTTCCTCTCGCCTAGATAAACGCGAGACCGTCGTAAGATGCACACACCAAGGTAACGTTTAAGCAATATCACTTTCGCTGCCGACAAACTTCAGTATCAGCAATATAATGGGGTTTTCTAATTAACATCATTAAAAACTAGATTTCAAATTTATATATACCTATTGTACGTAATGTTTGAGTCATCATGCCAGTATGAACGTCAATCAGTCTTATCCTTAATCCTTATTTAGTGTAAAATGTCAGCTAAATATGGATGTAAGTAACCGAATTGCGTTCATAATACCGATACTTAATGTATGATATAAACGGTTTCAGAAGCTCACAAAAATGTTACATCAATACTAGTGTGATGCATGTATATCATATTACTAGTTATATAAATCTTAAACTCTTATATGATGAAATGGGACCGGGGTAAGGCTACCGTCACGAAACGCGAAGAAGGGGCTGACATGACATCATGGAGGGTACAACAGGGTGTCAGATGAAGGCAACATTTAAAACACGCCCTTTTTGTAAGATTTTACGTACATGAGAAAAGACAAAGGTCACAAGCCTACCGTACATTTAAGTGAGTAAGACCCCTTGTCACAAGACTACCGTACATTTAAGTGAGTAAGACCCATTGTCACAAGCCGACCGTACATTTAGGGGAGTAAGACCCATTGTCACAAGCCTACCGTACATTCAAGTGAGTAAGACCCATTGTCACAAGCCTACCGTACGTATAAGTGAGTAAGACCCCTTGTCACAAGCCTACCTTCCATTTAAGTGAGTAAGACCCATTGTCACAAGCCTACCGTACATTTAAGTGAGTAAGACCCATTGGCACAAGCCTACCGTAAATTTAAGTGAGTAAGACCCATTGTCACAAGCCTACCGTACATTTAAGTGAGTAAGACCCATTGTCACAAGCCTACCGTACGTATAAGTGAGTAAGACCCCTTGTCACAAGCCTACCGTACATTTAAGTAAGTAAGACCCATTGTCACAAGCCTACCGTACATTTAAGTGAGTAAGACCCATTGTCACAAGCCGACCGTACATTTAGGTGAGTAAGACCCATTGTCACAAGCCTACCGTACATTTAAGTGAGTAAGACCCATGGCGATTGATGTTGTTGACTTTTTGCATTCCTACGTCAGTGCTGATTACAATACACTCATTGTTCGGGGCACACGTGTCGATGAACATACATCTCAACGTTCTCGCTTAGTTGGTTTTTTTCTGTAAACGTCATTCGCCTGGCAGTTTGACTCAGATAGACAGGCGATCAGATAAAATATCCACACGTTTATTGCACGACCAAACATGACCAGGTGGTACAGCCATTCTTAATTTGTCGATTTAATAATTCTTAGAATGAGTGTCAAACTTTCTCAAATATTTACAGACCGCTCCATCTCTGGGTCCTAAGCTACACGGACTGTTTAGCGTAGGTTTGCCTAAACAACTCCTCAGCTGGATCGCGAACAATGTAAACACAGTTGTCTCAGATCCATGTGACGTCATAATGGGCATATAACTACAGTGCGAAACCTGTATGTCCATGTGTTCTAGGTGCGGGTAACTGCACTTCCTGTATACACACAACACTTCCGGTTCCAGTGTCATAATTACCGAACTTTGAGAAGCCGCTTCACATAAGAAAGTATATCCCTGTCAAAATGATGTTCCATCAGTATTTAGGAGCTAGGGTCATGTTGGAAATGTGTTATTTTTTTATGTTTGATAGCGTATATTATATTCAGACTTATTCTGTATCATTCTAATATCTGTAGTAACATTTCAGCGAGATAGTTGGTAGCCATGTTTATCTAATTCGAGTTAGTTAATTCTAACATTGTATACAGGCATATAAGTTTACCGTGTGTCTATTTTGAAAATTAACTAATGACAGTTAGATAAACATGATGGACGTTCATTTCATATTTAGAAAAAAACATACGTTTCTGTAATGAATTAATTATTCTTGTTTCCGAAAAGGGAAACAAATGTTAATTAGTTCTGACGTCACAATAGAACGTAACGTCGCAAACTTGACGTCATAATTAGAATATTGACCAATGAAATCACGTCCAGGGTGTAACCCACTTGTGGGTAACCAAAAATGTTTACCAACTCCTAGCAGGTTTATCCGATAAGTCGGGGGCCAGGATACCTATGGTGGTTGTTGGAGAAAAATAATTATGAATATCGGTAAAAAGCACCACGGTGACCTTGGAGTGTGGTAGCACGTGGAGTACAATACCTTCATACTATACGTAGCTCGCCCAAACACAACATTATATAACACACGACCTCTTCCCCGCACCTGACCTCCAGGGCTTCACCGACGGGAGGGATTCATTGGAGCTCCCGTTCATTATTAAAGGAGATTACACCAGTACTCGCGGTACAGTGAAGTTTGTACGCCCTTTACAACAACCTACACACCTAATGCTCCGTATGTGTTGGGGGTTTTGTGTAGATCTTGTAACGACGGAAGCCTGGCTTTCTGTGTACAGTGTGTGTAACGTTCCTCTTATACAGGTGGATAGCATTGTATTTGAGTCATTCCTCTCGCGGGCCGACATTACTTCTTGCAACTATTTTGCGAAAAAATAAATCCTTTCATAACAAAATATTTATCTACAAAGTTGTTAATTCGTTTCTCAAACCAATTCTTCAAACTACATAATAATCACCACAAAATGTATCAGTTTTCCGTCTTTAAAAGGGCAAAGTTATGCATATTTTGCTACGTTTTAAACAAGAGGCCCAGAGGGCCTGTATCGCTCACCTGGATATCTAAACAATCATGGCAAAATATTCTCCAAATGAGATCCAAGGGAATATGCCAGACCCCAAGGCCAATCCAGGATCAATTCTAATATCATGACTGCATTCGTCTATTTTTGCCCAGCATTTGTATATATAGTTTTGGGGTGGGGATCTCAACCGTTTCTAAGTTATGACCCAGGGGTTAAGTCTGGAAAGGTTGGGCAGACCCTGGGATCAATTATAATATCATGACTGCATTCGTCTCTTTATGCCGAACAATTGTATATATAGTTTTGGGGTGTGGATCTTAACAATTTCGAAGTTATGACCCAGGGGTTAAGTCTCCAGGGTGGGGCAGTCCCCAGGGCCATCCTGGAAGCATATGTGCATTCATTTCTTTATAATTAGCAATTGTATATATGGTTATAGGGTGGAGATCGCAACTGTTTCGAAGCTGTGACTAAGAAACTAGGTCCCTAGGGTTCAGTCAGACCCCAGGGTCTATTCTGTTATCATGACTGCATTCGTCTCTTTATGCCCAGCATTTGTATATTTAGTTTTGGAGAGGGGATCTCAACCGTTTCAAAGTTATGACCCAGGGACTTTGTCTCCGAGGTTGGGCCAGACGCTAGGGCCATCCTGGAAGCAACTGTGCATTCTTCTCTTCATACTCGGCTATTGTATATATGGTTATACGGTTGGGATCTCAACAATTTCCAAGTGATAAACTTATTTTGGCCCCACCTCTTAGCCCGGGGGGTCAGACCCAAAATTTGTACAATTTTGAATCTCCACCACCTAGGGGTGCTCCCAGTCAAATATGGTTGATATCCATCTCTTTGTTCCAGAGAATAAGTCGCTTCAAGCAATATAGCCAAATTGGCCCCTTTTGGCCCCACCCCTCAGTCCCCTGGGGGGTCAACCCCACCATTTGTACAATTTTGAATCCCGACAACCTAGGGATCCTTCCAGTCAAATATGGTTGATATCCATCTTTTAGTTCCAGAGAAGAAGTCGCTTAAAGCAGTATAGCCAAATTGCCCCCTTTTGGCCCCGCCCCTCAGCTCCCTTAGGGGTCACCCCCACCATTTGTACAATTTTGAATCCCTACCACCTAGGAATCCTTCCAGTCAAATCTCTTAGTTCCAGAGAGGAAGTCGCTTAAAGCAATATAGCCAAATTGCTCCCTTTTGGCCCCGCCCCTCAGCTCCTTTAGGGGTCACCCCCACCATTTGTACAATTTTGAATCCCTACCACATAGGGATCCTTCCGGTCAAATTTAGTTAAATTCCAATCAGTGGTTAAGAAGAAGAAGTTGTTTAAAGAAATTGTTGACGGACGAACGGACGACGGACGCCACGGTATGCCATATTCAAATATTTCAAACGTTCTAGTATAAAGACACCACAATTTTACAATAAATGATTCAATATCTAAGGAGTTCAATACATTCCAGAAAAGTTCATCTGAACCGGTGTTACTTTTGATCACAAACAAGAGGTTCATCTGAACCGGTTTTACTTTTGATCACAAACAACAGGTAAATCTGAATCGGTGTTACTTTTGATCACAAACCTCAGGTACATATGAACCGGTGTTACCTCTGATCACAAACCCGAGGTTCATCTGAAGCGGTGCTACTATTGATCACAAACCACAGGTACATCTGAACCGGTGTCA